TCACTTGCTTGTTTATATAGCATTGGAAATGATACGTTGGAGTCAGTTATTCCGTTTCAATGCCAATTACATTCTTTCCATATTGAGAAGATCTTTGTCTTGGAATAAAGTCGTTGGTAATAAAGTATCTTGAATGCACAGTACCGTTTCCAATTAAGCGTGTTCTGGCTTTGGCTTATTCTGACGCTGCTAGGTGCTGATGAATTGTTGTGGTCTTGATCAGAGTTTAGATTGTTACGCGCAGATCTGTTCATCAAGCTTCAGCGTAAGCACATGCTTTGATCTTCTGATTCTGGCATCTGATATATCATCTTCTGATGCTGATGTTGATGTTTCATCTTCTGATGCTGATGATGATATTCTTATGCTGATATTCATCAGAGTTTCTATAAAACATAATATAATTTTTAGGTAGCATATATGTCTTACATGAATCATACAATTTATATAATCTTGCATTTTGTTATCATCAAAACTTTAACTTAGGGTAGTAGATTCAAACTTTGTTCCAACAGATACAAGAATTATTATAAAGTCTTCCTACATTTGCATTTCAAAATATTTTCAAAAAATTCACAAAAAAAGTGAACTAAGCAATTAAGAGCCTGTAGATTACTACGAATGAAAAGGGTGCTAACATCTTCCATTTTCATAACTTACCCCCCCCCCCCCCCCCCCCCCGAACACAAAATCTATCAAGGTATTTCCTATTCTTTTCACTCTTTCCTTATTGGATAAAAAAAAGTCGGTGGCGACTCTTTCTATCCACAACATTTGTGATAAAACGCAAAGACAAGTCAGTTCTCCCACCGTATTACACATACAAAACTTAAAAACAATAGTTGTATAAAAACTTAATTTGACTATAAAATAACGGAAAAATATTTAAATTAATAATAAATTTATAATATATAAAAATGTTAATTCTTAATAAGCATAATAAACTAATATTCATATTCCTAATTAAAATAAATAAATAAATACATAAGTAAACATTAGAAATGTGGCAATGCAAAAAAAGGGAAAAACTAATATATGGAGAAGTAAGGATTCGAACTCAAGTTCTTTACATTCTTCGCTCATAACATAATCGTTAGGCTAATGCACTTATTCGAGATTAAATGGTGCCATAAAATACATGAATGATTGGGAAAATTTAGGGTATGACAGCTTCCTGCCCCAAGAGTATAATATTTGGGGTCACCTCGGCCCGCATTTCACCTTTAGAAACCAATCCTTGAAACCCTTGTAGTTAGAGGTATACACCTGAAGGAAGCTTTTGTGAGGAATGCCATTAACCTGGATCCACGAAATATTTTCGACTCCCTTTAACTCATAAAAGGAGAAGAAAAGAACGGCTGTAGGAATGATATCCATCGCCTCACAAACAATTTCAAAAGCCTTTATAAATCCCTAACTGTTGGGGAGAAGCTGTGAGGGTGCGACATTCATGGCCTTCAGAACATCGGCCTCAAACTTGGAAAAGGGTATATCGACTTGGAATTCCTCCAAAACCCCAGTATAAAAGTAAAAGAAATCTTCATAAGTGTCCTTCTAACGAAGTACACACACGTGATCCCCTGAGACACACGGTTCCAGGATGACATCACTTTCCTCCCCTGTCGAGGAGACCCTCATCAAAGACCTAATTTTTGCAATCTCTGTGTCATCGAGTACATTTTTTTGTAACCCATGACTTCAACGTCAAAAGGAGGGTAAAACCATAAACCTCCTGGGTGATGTGATTAAACTCCTCCTGACCTAGAACACCCTTCATCTCTCGCATGCATTGGTACCATAACTCTCTTCTTTCTTCAACGCTAGAGGGTTTCACAATGTTTCCCTCATCGTTACACTCTCTCAAGACAACCATGGCCTAAGAGGGGAAAAACATAAATAAAAGAGTAAAGAGGAAATACCTGGAAAATGGAGAAACACTTGAGGTAGATTAAAATGCTCTCTTGAAAGAATAACTGCCTTCTGCAGTTACCAAAGATAGAAAAGGAAAGAAGAAAATAGAGTCTTTAATAGATTCCTGAGAACAATGCACTAGGCATGGGAAGCATCGCCCAATGAACAAGGGTTTAGGTGGAAGTCATCATTACTTCAAGAAAGAGAAAATGGTGACTCTTCACTTCACAACACGTGGGTCAGGAAAGAGCAGCAACCCGCCGACGCCTGTATTACCTTTTGTGACTACATGACCGAATATGGCGTCCTCACAAAGAGAGGACTTGAACTCGAGGGTCTTATGTACATCCTGGAAATCACAGGGCCAATCGGGTATTATAATCATAAAGGAGAAAGGATAAAGTAGTAGTCGACTTAGTGTGAAGGTACCTGGGGTGTAACTCGGCTAAGGGAGTATCTGACGACCCATGGACCCGGGTAGCAACTCTCCGTCACCATCTACCTGGATATGGTAGGTAGCCGAGAGGCACCTTCCCGTAAACGATCATCCTCTCGACTCATTAAAGCCAGTAACTGATGATGGAGAACTCATTACTATGTTACACAATACTAATCATCTTCATTCATGGAGATGGCATAGGTTACGTAGTTATAGAACTCAAGAGTCACTCATTAATTGAGGCTCTTGATGAAGCAAAGATACTCACTATATAAAGGGGCTCCTGACATAGGGATAAGCAAGACATTCATCTTGGGACACATGCATCACTGCCATAGCTCCCAAATCCCCCAATCATCTCATAAACTCACTTCGGGGGGCTCTCCCTAGCAACCCCCTGGGAAGTCGGCCAGATATTTGTTCTACACAGGAATAACATATATTCGAAAAGCTAGAATAACAAACAAATAACTATTCCAATGATAATTGTAATTGAAAATTCAACAGTTTGTGATGAACTTACTCGTAAAAAACTGTCTGATATTTGTTGCATTAGTTGCATTCCTATCAAGTTCACTGCATCTGTAGTTTCAATATAACATCAAGAATGCAATTCAAACCCTACTTCAACTATTACATTTCATAACAAAGTAAACATTAAACATAAAGGAGATAACAAAACATAACATCTTAAAATTTCCAAAAAATCTCTCTGATTTCAGTTTGTTCTTAAAATTCTTGTTCTTCTTCTTCTTTGAATCTTCATACGTAACCTTTAAATAGCCCATAGCTTCCAACTCTGAATTCATAATGCTCCCATATTAATTTCCACCTTTTTCTGCCATGTCTTCATCCCATATGAACAAATTAAATGTCTCATCACTACTCCAAAATGGACATCGCCAAAAAAACTTTCCTTTATTTTGTCCCTTCTTGCATTGGTACAAAACCATACGACTATCATAACCACAAAATTTTCAAGATTGGGATTTTACAGAAGAAGAAGAAGAAGATATAGACACACCTTTGGATGAGTTTTTCTTCAAACGCGACATTGAAATGAAACTAAACAACAACAACAACAACATCCACAACAATGGCGAAAATATTTTACGTACCATAAAGGAGAATATTGTGTTGGTGTTGGTGTTTGTGTTGGTGTTGGTGTTGGTGTTTTCTTCCTTCCCGATGATGGCAATGATGTTAGTGTTAGGGTTGTTTCGTCTTGTTTCTTTTTTCAATGGAAAAATGGATAATGAAGAGACAAGCTAGCTAGAAGTTAAATACATTATTTCCCACAAACGACTTCACTGATATGTCTAGACCAAAATATTCCACGATATGTTGGGATTTGGATACGATAACTGTGTCAAATGAGGTTTTTGGTCGGTCGGTTCTCTCCCAATTTGGTTAGGCATCGGGAAAGATGAAAGGGGCTAGCCCTTGCACCAAACACTCCAAATCTCAAGTAAGTAGTTGATTGACGCAAGGAAATGAATGTTTTGAGGTTTTTTTTTTTAGTGTGTACCTGATTTGAAGTCTTTTGTTCTCTTTTATAGGAATTATTTTAGACTTTGCTTGAGAGTTTAAACGAGAAGGGATTGGAGGACTTTGAAAAAAGTGAAGGATTTAATGAAAAGAATAGAAGGGTTTAGGTGGGGAAGGTTTTGAAGGATTTGTTCTTATTCATAAACCAAAATCCCTCTAATTTTGAGGGAACTAAAAAATTATATTAAAGAAGAGTTTTTGAGGGTTTTAGAAGACTTAAGACAAATTTTTCAAATATAGTTTTTGTTTTTATAGTATTGTAAAAATTAAAAATATATTAATAATAAACATTATTTTATCAATCTATTTAAAAAAAATTCCAAAAACTTTTTAAGATCTCAACCGTTCGGATAAAACTCAAGGTGTTAGTGTGTTACAAAAGAAAGCTCTTTAGCCCTTTTCAACTTAACACTCAAAAGTTTATATGTTCAATTCTGCCTTGGAGTTTAAATTCTAAAGCGCTTTAATGTTAAATGGCTCCAATTGCTCATTTTTAGACAAGTCAATTGCATGAAACATTTGACTTTTTGGTTAAAATGAAATGGAATGGAGTGGAACATTGCGTAGTTCCTCTAGTCTTTTAGCTTATGATGGTATATCTACACGGATCACTTAAGTATCAAAATGTGGCTGATTTTTCTAAAATCTTATGTATCAATTCAACATTGTAAGTTGAACTCGTCAAAGTAATGTTAGTTAGATAAATTGCTCAACATTTAGAATGGTTCTCTTTTGAATCGAATGTTCTCTCCTGGTTGTGAAGGTTCTTAGCAATCACTCATTAGGTTTATGACAATCAACTTTCTAATTGCTTGAATCAAAACATACATAAAAAAAAAAACTAAAAAAAAAACCCTAGTATGCAAGAAATATCTGCATTGATTTCATATGTACAAACCATGTCACATACATGCTGAGCACACTCTCCTTGTAGACCCAACCAAATAAAATTTTACATACATTAAACTAATAATTCCCAAACAGACCTTACTAATCTTATTTTAACATTATAATAACTGAAAAAAGAATTAGTAATTACTAAACAAACTTGTACACTTGTAGAGCATCACCAGCATCTAACTCTATTCATGAATCTTGAACATCATGAACTTGAACTAGGACTTGTTGAAGCTTCACTTTTAGTTTCTCTTCTCCTTTTCCTGCCACAACTATTTGGCTTAGGATCACACAATCCAGCCTCCAAAGGAAAGTTCAATATAGCTTTTCGACCCCTCATTCTGAAAGCAGCAGAATCATAAGCTTTTGCAGCATCAATTTCAGAATCAAATGTACCTAACCAAACCCTACTTCCTTTCCTTGACGGATCACGTATCTCAGCTGCAAATTTCCCCCATGGCCTTCTCCTTACTCCTCTATACTTCCTTGTCTCATCAACACACTCTTCTTCTTTCTTCATCTTCTTTGATGACACAATAGTACTTGGTATTGGTAGTGGTAGTGGTAGTGGTAGTATTTCAGGTGATGAATTAGATTTCTTGGTTTCCTTTGAAGGGCTTGTTGTTTCATTTGGAGATGAAGTGTGAGTGAAGAACTCCATGTCTGATATCAAGTCATAGTCTTCAAGGAAAGTGAAGAAGGTGGTGTTGTCTGAGATATATGAAGAGAAATCAAAATCTGATGAAGGGTTTTCGAGTTTAACAGGATGAACAAAAGGGTCAGAGATGGTGTCACCTAAGAGATGGTGGCGTATGAGATCTATGTTTGAAGTTTCTTTTGCTCTTGTCATATCTTTAGGAAGTGAAGAAAAATCATGTGATTGAATTTTGAGCCTAAGGTGTACATGTTTATATGGCTTTAGTGCTTACTGTAAAAGGGTCCCCCCATATATTAGAAGTCTTAACAGATCATCTCATCTGTAAGGCAACCACTAGGCTGAACCATCAAGTGTTATATTAATATATATATATATATGGTCCACCAATAACAACTTGTGTAGTATATGAGTGTAGCAACAAGTCATGCTTTGTTAAAAAAAGAAAAGAAATGGATTTATTTGGGGGAACTTTTATTTAAATTACACATTTTTAAAATAATTTCTCAAGTAATCTATTTTGAAAACTAATTTCCAAATTACTTTATTTTTGGGTCTGTGTAAGAAGTAATCACTGGTTAATGATGAGATTTTCGAATTAGTCATTGATCTCGCAAGTTCAATATACAATACTTTGGTGATTATATTTTGCAGGAGTCCATATAGAGGCTTTATCATATCTGCGATTTATTTCTACTATGTAGAAATAAATCAAATAAGTGGTTGCATTTCATTCTGAAGTGTCACTTGGAGCTCTGCGCTCAATTTGAAAGTAAGGTCTAAATATAAATCGGTACATGAGAAAAAAATTCAATAGATGCAATGCAAGATGTTTGAAGATCATTGTGTTACATAGTATCTTCCAAATTCATGTAGATCAGACAATTATTTGTAGAACTTCTTTACGCTTTTTAGAAAATAGATTTTTTGAATCTATGTGAATGATTTTCTACACATTAATAAAGTTTAGATGATAATATTGTTCTTTTATATTGTGTTATCATAAAAATCAAATTACAAAGGATTGTTTTACAAATCAATATTAGTTCAACATGCCTTATGTAACACCTGTAATTCAAGATCATTTTCACTTTATTTTTGTATCCATAATCCTTCATTGGCATCCTCTGAAGTTATGTGAAGCATTGTTGAAGTTTGACATGCCTTATGTAACACCTGTAATTTAATTAATTAATTATTTAATTAAATTATTTTGGATTATTTGCGAAGTTGCGAGATGTTAAGAATCATGGGTATGAGTTGCTGGATTATTATCAATTAATTAATTAGTTGATTAATAATAATTATAATATTGAAATTAAGGGAATATATATATATATATATATATATATATATATATATATATATATATATATATATATATATAAGGTTAAGCTGCCACAAGGAATTGTTTTAGTTGGAGAATAAGAAGCTCTGTACGTGGACCAGAAGAGACGCGCGAAAGAGGAACAAGCTGCCCGGTGTCGAGCAGAGCAAAATAAGTTATCGACTGGAAGTTTGGTTGAGCGACCTTCAATCCAGGTAAGGGTGGGGTTCTGACCTTATAATGGGATTTATGATGTGTATCACGTAGGAATTGGTCGTTGTAGGCCTATTGTGCATTGATCTTTTTGAATTTGCTATCGAAGTTTCCCGGTTGTTTATTGTGGACGTTTTGAGTTATTTGTGTGACTGCCCGGTTTAATCGAAGGATAGCTTAGGATAGTTGATTACTGGTCGTGATGGTCGTTAGGACATTAGGCTATTCCGAGCGGTTGGCAGGAAAATTAGTAAATTGTTGAAGTGGTCGTTTTAGGGAGGTTTCTGCATGACATGTCTTGTATGATTAATGAACCTGTTAATAAGAAATATAGTTGTTGTGTTTTCCCGAGCGGTTGGACGGAAGTTACAAATTTTAGTGGTGTGGTCGTTATGACATCGTGTTGTTCTGTGTTGTTGGCCGGATTAGTGGTCAGGGAGGATACTGAAGTGCTAGGTTTCGAGCGACATTTAGGCTGCAAAGCGTGTCGGAGAATATAGGTGTTGGACGTCGAGCGACATTAGGCTGCGAGGTGTGCTGAGGAGCACGACACTGTTGTCGAGTGGAATGTAGTTATAGGACGTGCCGAGGAGCATAAGTTAGTTGTTATTCTACTTTCTCTGAGTGTGTCAAGGAGTATGAATTAGTTGTTATGTCGTCCTAGTTGTTATGCATGTCGAGCAACACGTAGTTCCCTATCCCTTTTTCCCGTACATGCCATGTTTTGGTCATTACCCATGCGGTGTGAGTTATTGCTAAGTTGCCATCAGATTATGCTAATGATTGAATTGTTGATTTATGTGGTAGGCTTATGGAAAATGTTGATTTATGTTGAGTTGTTGTGTTGTTGTGATTGTCGCTGTGAATTCTTGTTGATAATACGAAGTTGTAGGGAATTTTAAATGATGATGAATTACCTCTATTTATTGGTAATAATGGTGATGTAGGCTTATGCCTTGCGATGAATGATGATTGTTGTGAGTATGTGATAATTCATTCATTGAGTCATATACATTTTCATACTCTGACGGTATGGATTGGCAAAATGCGAAGGAGGCTTATGCCTTGTTGATGCCTCTATTAATTTGCAAGTTTTTAAGATTGGAGTTCTGCTCCATTGGTACCACATGAATTTGTATAAAGATGAGTTGTATTCTGTGTTGCATTCTGATTCGTTGTGTGGTTGATATAATTATGCTTATGTTGTTAAAAATCTGAGAAGTGGTGAAAATGTATGAACTAATTCTAATGTTTTATTTATCATGCATTCTATTATAATGTTCGATATCTCACCCCTTCTGTTTGAATGTTGCCCCGATGTTGATAACGTGCAGGTAATCTAGAGTGAAGGTCTTTTACCTTCAGTAGTTCGAGTCGGTGTCATTGCTCTGATACGTAACACTCGGGGGGATGAACGCTTGATGTTTTATTGTTTTTATAATTTCAGCTGATTGAACTTTAAGTTGTTATTCTTTAAAAGATTGTTATTTGAAGTTGTCTTAGTGGGACAAAGATGTTACATTCCTTTAAGTTGAATATTATGAGTCTGCTGCGTAGTTATGAAAGTTGATGTTTCCTTTAAGATTGAATTATGTTGTTGTTGGTTCATCCAAATTTAATATGTTATGTATCGGTAATGAATGTCGTTGTTAAATTGTTGAATTTATAGCATCCTGATTCAGTTGTGGAATTTTTATAACTCTGATTTATATATATTGTCGGATAGAATTGGGGTGTTACATAGTTGGTATCAGAGCAAGTCGGTTCGTCCGACCAAGTTGTCGAGTCGTAGTTGTCTAACAATCGAGTATTGTTACCTTGAGTTCTAACTGTTGTTTATGTTGTAGAGATAAGTTGAGATGGTTGGAAGGAATGATGCTGCACCGGCTGCTGCTTTAGAAGCAATGGCACATGCTATGGAGAATCAGCCAAACACGGACGAGAATGCTGGATCTCGTAGTTTGGCAACTTTCCAGAGGAAAAATCTGCCTACCTTCAAGGGTAAGTATGATCCTGAAGGAGCGTTGGATTGGTTGAAAGAGAATGAGAGAGTCTTCCATGTGATGGACTACACTCCAACGTGGAAGGTTCTATATGGTACTCATATTCTAGTAGTCGAAGCTGATGAGTGGTGGCTAGAGACGTGTCAGAGGTTAGAAGCTGCAGGTGAAAATGTCACTTGGGCTGTGTTTCGTAGAGAATTTCTGAGGAAGTATTTCCCTGAAGACGTTCGTGGTAAGAAGGAAATTTAATTTCTTTAACTGAAGCAAGGAAGTATGTTGGTTGTTGAGTATGCAGCAAAGTTTGCGGAGTTGGCTAAGTTTTATCCGCACTATAGGGAGGAAAATGCTGAGTTTTCGAAGTGCATCAAGTTTGAGAATGAGTTGCGCCCAGAGATCAAGAAGGCAGTTGGATACCAGAAGATTCGTGTCTTTGCCAATTTGATTGATAGTTGTAGAATTTATGAAGAGAATAATAATGCTCATTATAAGATTATCAGTGAGAAGAGGGGTAAGCACCAACAAAATCGTGGTAAGCCTTAAGATTAATTTATCTTACTTTTTTTTATTTAATTTAAATAGATCCAAAATGATTTTTCACTTCAATTTTTTCCCATAACTTTCTTAAAATATTTTCAACCACATAAATATTTTTCAGAATTTTAAAATGACTTTAGCATTTTTTTTTCTATTTTCTATTCATTTTCTTTTTAGTTAACTTCAAAAAATTATTTCTCTATCATTTTGAAATATTTTTTAGTCCAACTTTTGAGATCTTGAGTTTTGGAGTTTTTCTGACCTTTTCAATTTTTTGTGGCATTTTATTTGATGTTTCGAAATAACTTTTGTATTTTTCCTTTAATTTTCATTTTAAACCATTGAAAATCATTTTTATATTCAATTGAAATATATATTTAATTTTTTTTTTATGACTTGTGATTCTGACTTTTGGTTGACTTGGTCAATTTTGCTTAACATAGCGCTAAATTATCTCAAATCGGTTGATTAATCTCTAACACTAACATTAACTCCATATTATTGTGTTAACTTTACTTTATGCACTTTACATTAATGTCATTTAATTTTACGCCATTTATATTTCAAGTCAATTATATTTCAAGTCATTTATCATTCATTGTCATCTTTACTTTTTGCTTTACTTTTGGTTCTTATTTAGCTAATTGATTCAAAATGACCAAAAACATTAATAAAGATCAAAACCCTAAAAAATTGTTAATCTTGGGCTATGGACTTGATGTTACTATCATTTGTTTGGAGTTGGATCTCTGGACTTAGATCTAGGATTTTTATTCTGATGCTTGGAGTTTGTACCAGAGATCTTGGAAATACATCTGCAACATTGATCAACATTTGAAAATTTAGCTTTGCTTTGGTTATGTTCATCTGATACTTTGTAGGTTCATCTGAGACTTGGCTTTTGTCCTGAGAACTTTGGACTTTGTTATTTTATATGAACTTTGTGATATTCATTTGTTATGTCATTACTTGCTTGTGACTAAATCCAAAGGAAAGGAATTGCTAAGTTTGACTAATGTCAATTGCTTGCTTCATTCTAATTAGTTCACTTGCACACATAAAGGGTTCCTCTTAGGTTACCTTACAAGGAGACCATTTATTTCTTGTTATTTACTTTA